TACCAATCCTTGGGCTACAGGCAGAAAAAGTGTGTGTGTGTGTGTGGGGGGGTGTGGGTGTGGGTGTGTTTTCTGTCTGTGAGGAGGGAGTGTTCCTGGAGGGAGTTTCTATGGTGGGAATTCCCTACACAGCTGAAATCAAAGATCCTATTCACCTCCCTACCCTCAACTCCTAAAAGATGCTGATGACATTAGATGGTACAAGAATTAACTGAACTAGATTTGGAGTTAGAATTATTCAGACAATTTAGGCAGAAGCAGATTTTTATTTTTTGCTAGAAATTTCAAGTTATATTGGCTTTCTTTTTTTCTTGCATTTTTTAAAGTTTTCAATTAATAAGTGTCTAATTTTCTTTCACTTCCACACTCACACACTCCATTTTCAGCCAACTAGCATTTAGTTGGGGGAAAGGAAAAAAAACAACAACATTGTAACAAATATGCAAACATTAAGCAAAACAAATTCTTGAATTGGACTTGTCCAAAATTATCTTTCTCTTGCATCTTGGGAGTCTTGACCCTCTATCAGGAGGTGGGTAGTAGTACTTGGATCAACTTTCTCTCTCTCTTTTTTTTTTGTGTGTGAGACAATTGGGGTTAAGTGACTTGCCCAGGGTCACACAACTAGTGTCAAGTGTCTGAGGCTGAATTTGAACTCAGGTCCTCCTGAATCCAAGGCCAGAACTTGATCTACTGAACCATCTAACTGCCACCTTATCAACTTTCCACGTGTAGATGTAGTCTTTCAAGGTTCTGTTTACATTCACAAAGTTAAGAAGACAATGTGTGTATGTTATTCAAAATTTTTGTTGGAAGTAGCTCTACTAGATATCACACTTGAGAAGTTTGGGACAGATATGTGCTTGGCTGTTTCAGGTCATTCCTCTGGGGTACTTGGTGGGATTGTCCTGGTTCCAGGGTCTGAGCCTCGGCATTGCAATTTCAGGTACCCTGTTTTATCAGGTTGATATTTATATTATTGTTGAACCATGATGAACCATCAGACTCCAAGGATTTACTTCATGGGAACCGAACTCTTATAAATCTGATTGGTAAAACAGAATATCAATTGAATTGACAAAAGCAACTAGCATACCTGTGCCATTTATCCTCAGGCATCCCCTTTCTGGGTTCTGGAAAGTCAAACTAGTAATCAAGTGGTGAGTTGGGGAGCATGCTATCAGTATACCGGTAACTGGGTGGTAGTAGAGTGCCAGACTTGAAGTCTGGAGGACCTGGGTTCAATTCTTGCCTCTGGATGTTGAAGGAACCAAATGAAATACCATACATATATAGTGTTTTGCAAACCTTAAGCTGCTATATAAATGGAAGCTATTATTATTAATAATGAGTCACATTTTATAGCATTTTTGCATTAAGGTTTGTACCTTAAACAACCTGTGACCTACATAATGAAAGTATTATTTCTGTTTTACAGCTGAGAAAATAGGCTGAGAGGCTAATTAGCCTTACCAAGGAAGGCCACATAGCTAGTGTCTGTGGCATAATGGGGACTCAACCCAGGTCTCCTGACTTCAAATTCACCAGACTTTGAAGGACCTACTAACTCCATAGCTGAGGTTATAGAGTTCACTTTTCTGATAACTTGGAATAGTTATGTGCATCCAATACATTGTCTCTCCTTTATACATTGCTAGATAAACACTGACAAATTTTTATCATCTAATTGTCCTTTTTCAGTATTTCTTATCTTTCACTTGAAGCTTTTGTTACTATATTTCTTCCTGAAGGAATTGCCACTTCGGCCAGTTTTTAAAAAAATATTACAATACAATTAAGATTGAGATCTTCCTTGGAACAAAGTAAGGAGACACTCTAGTCTCTGACATCGTTCCAAAGAAGGCTTTTGTGTTATTTTTAAAACTTTAATTCTAAAAGGTGACATCTTCTGACCTTTCCTCCACCTAAACAAACCCTGAGGGTTCCTTCACACAATCTGAGATTTGCCATCCTCCTTTTGCAAGAGGCATACCTGTGTGACCATGGTAACTATTTCTGCTCTCTTTAGTCCTCAGTTTCCCCAGCTGTAAAATGAGGCATTTGGATGAAATTGAAGAAAGGATGACAATAGCAGAATTAGAGTTTGAAGAGAGCTTAGTTCAACCTTCCCTACTTCCCTGCACTGGTTTTAAAGAGTAGGAAACTATGCAGCCCATAGAGGGCAAGGGACTTGTCCAAGGTCACACTGCTAAAACTGGGAGAAAGGGGGTTTAAAGCGCTCTCACTCCAAGGCTATTTAGCCTATAGCTCCACAGCTTGCCTCCCAAGATCCGGTTCAGCTTTAACATCAATTACATTGAACTCAATTAAAACTGCCCTGCAAGCTGTTTTTCACAACTGGGAAGCCCATTCCCCAGCCTTCACACCTCCACCAAGTCTTGAATCCACTTACCTCCTCACCCCCACCCCTGGGCTTTTAAGAATCTTTAATTTACTTCAAACACCCGGTTCCTCAAATTACCTTGTATTTACTATCTGTGACAAAGTTTCTTCCTAAGTAGATGGTAAGCTCCCTGAGGGGTTCGACTGCTTTCCTCTTTCCCTTTGTACCTTCCCCTAGGCTAAGTGATTTGGTCTTTAAGTTAAGGGTACTTCCCGATTGATTGCCGCTCTTGTATGGGAGGGTGTGGCTTAAGTCCAATAGAAGTCAAGTGACTTGCCCAGGGTCACTAGGCTAGTTAGTGGTGAAAGAAGAATTTTAACCTAGTTCTCTCAGAGTCCTAGCCCCAGCACTCTATCTATTAGAGAACACTTCCTCCATTCAATTTAATTTCTTTAAGGCTTAGTTCTAGTGTCATTCTTTTCTTGAAGCTTTTTCCATCACTCCAGCTAAAGTGTACTGACCCTCTCCATATTTTCCTGTTTACTTGATCTGGACCTCTCCTTTGCTCCCATTATATTTAAGGTCCAGCATTGTCAAGACTATTTCCCCTCCTCCCTCCCCCAAATGTAAGTTATTTGATTTCAGGCACTAAGCAGTTTTTCACCTTGGATCACTATCACCCACCTCCCATAATGCCTCACACATAGTTGTTTAACAAGTAATTCTGCAACTGTTCACTATCCAGTATTCAACGTTGTAAACCTATAGTTTTATACACCTGCATGTTCCCCAGGTATCTCAAACTTAACATGTCCAAAAGAGAAGTCATTATCATCCCCTCCCCCCTTTCCTTCCCAACTTCTCTTATTTCTATCAAGAGCACCGCCATCCTTTCAGACACAGAGGGCCAACCGCTTGGAGTCAGCCTGAAAAAGGATCATTTCCACTCGGATCTCCCCCACCCTTCCCCCCAGCTGTCCCCTACACTATCCTACCAGTTGGCCAGTTTCCTCAATTCCCCCCCACCCCCTTACAGCATAATCACTGTGGCTTAGGCCTTCATCACTGGTGGCCTGGACTGTTGCAATAGTCTCCTAGTTGCTAGTACCCTTCATTACTTCGTATCTGGGTGTGTGTGTGTGTGTGTGTGTGTGTACACACATATATGTTGCACTTTAATTTTATTTTAATGTTTCCCCTCCCCTCGGGGGCTGAAAGAGTTTTGTTTTTGTCTGTGGATTTTTTGTACCTGGCACATAGTAGGGGCATAGTCAGTGCTTCTGGAGTGAATCTCAAATCCATTAAAAACTGTCTATCATTAAAAGCTGAGAGTCTATGCAATGAATTGGAATTTACTTTGCCTTAAAGTCTCATTCGCAAGAGCTTCAGAAAGCTAAGGAGATATGCTGCAGACGAAAACGATCAGTGAGGGTGGGAAAAAACTAAGCTACAGCCCACGCCCCACCCTTCAACCCCCTCTAAATCGATAGCAAAAATTTTGGCCCAGTTTCCTATAGCTCTGGCACCGAGTTCGCGACTCCAGCGCGGTGCTGGGGCATTATGGGAGTAAAGCGTTTTCTCAGCACTGCCAGCCAGGCCAGCGTGGGAGAATCGGCCCTCCCCCCTCCCCCAGCCAAAAGGAAACCCTCAGTCTCGGGCTGGGGAGCCGGCAGGCCGTCCCGGAGGCTCAAATTGCTTTTTTTTTTTCTTTTTTCCTCCAGGAGTGGGGGAGGGCTAGGGCTGATGATGGAGCCCAAAGGAACTGGAATTGCTAGCGGTGAGGAGGGAGAGGAAGAGAAACCTAGATCCCTAATCAGAGGGCTTGGGCCTGAATCTATGCTCAAACCCTTGTTGGCCAAAGGATCCAGAAGTCTCTTCCTAGGTCTCGGAGCCTTAGTTTCCTCCTCCGTCAAATAGAGGAAATCATACTTCTGTCTCAGGGTTATGATGGGAGAAGCGCTTTGTTTCACGTGAATGCGCGACCGAAAAATGTGCACGATTGTGTTTGTCTATTCCAGAGGGCTTGGGGAGGCAGAGGGAAAAGAGGGAGTGAGGAAGGCGGGCGGCCCCCAACGGGGTGTGTCCTAACTCGACACATCACCGCACCCCTCCCGCGGGGGAGGGGGGCCGCCCACGTCCGGAGTTGCCCGGGCCTGGCCCCCTTCCCAACCTCCCCCCAGAGGAGGGAGAGGGGGGAGGGGAGGAGCCGCCTGGCTAGGCGGGTTAGGGAGTAAGCGAGGCGCGGCCACGACACCTTGTTTACTCGGCGGCGCGCCCCTGCGGGCGCCTCGTTCCCAGCCCCTACGTAAGAGTTAGGCCCATGATGATTGGTTGGGAGTTCGGAGGGAGGACGGGGCCGGGGAGGGCGGGGAGCGGAGCGTTGTAGCGCCAGGCCTTAACCGCTAGATGCCGCTGTCCTCCAACGGGAGTCGAGCGCGGACTCGTGGCCACCAGGTGGCGCTTGCACGCACCATTAGCCTCCAAGTCGCCGAACAGCAAACACCCCAAACAATCCCGAAGCGCCACCAAAAAAAAAAAAAAAAAAAAAAAAACCCCCCCCCGCCCCCCCCCCCCCCTTCCCCCCCCCCCCCCCAACCCCGGCGCCGGCGAACCGCGGGAGTCGGAGTCCCTGAGAGGAGCCCGGGGCCGTGAGGGCGAGCCAGAGCTAGAGACCCCATCGCGCCGGCCTGGCCTGGGCTGCTGAGGAAGGCCCCGCGTCAGGAAGGAGGAAGGAGCGGGGAGGCGGCCAGGGCCAGCGCTACTGCCGCCTCTGCGTGTGCCCGCGGGGAGGTAAGTTAGAAAATGGCGGAGGCGAAGCTTCGAGAAGTTTGCGGGGGGCATCCTGTGTGTGCGTGTGCGTGTCTGTGTGGGCTGGAAATGGGGGCAGAGCAGGAGCGGGGGGGGCAGGAGGAGGTGCGAGCCTTCGCTCAGGCGTCAGCTCGAAGCCGTCGTTTCGGGGGGGTGTCGGTGGCGGCCCCATACCTTGTCTGCCCTCCAGCACCCCCAGATCCCCGGCAGCTCCTAGGGTTGTCCCCCTCTCGCCCGCGCCACCGCCGCCGCGCAGAGCTCCCGAGTCCTCCGCCCCTGCTATCCCTACCAAGCACCGGGGGCAGCCTTTTTCTCCTTCCCCGGCCCGTAGCCCCCCAGTGAGACCCCCCCATTCTCGTTGCCCCCCGCAGGCGGCCCAAAATGGAGAACGCGGAGCCGCGCAAGATGGAGGCTCCGCTTCTCCGGGTGTGTAACGAGGGGGGGCGAGGTGCGGATGGACGGACGGAGGGAGGGGAGGGGTGGGGGCTGTTGTGGGCTGGGGGGAGAGGAGGGGCAAGTACCCCTCCCTGCCTCCCCCCTCCTTCCTTCGAGAGGGAACAGCATTCATGTGACCTGGCCCCCCGCCCACTCCGTCCCCCCCAGTCTCGGCCCCGGCCCCGGCCCCAGCCCCGCCAGGGAGCCCGCTCCGCGGGAATGCGTAGGAGCTCGACCCTCCCCCTCGCTCCCCAGGCCCTACTTTGGGCAATTCTCCGAGGGGAACAATTTCCAAGTGGGCTGGGGCTGGGGGGGGGAGAGCTGTAGGGCCCGCGTGCTGGCCATGCTCTGAAAGGGGCTGCGCTTGTCGGCTGGGGGGGAAGGGCGGAAGGGGGAGGGCTGCGGGTTGGGGGGTTTTGGCGCCACTTTTGTTTTACTTTTAGTCCTGCCTTGCGTCTCCACCCCCGCCCCCCACGTCTTTGCTCACCGCACACTGAACCGAGCTGATCCTGCCTCAGGTAGGTGGGAAGCAGCAGCTGCTTGGTCCCTCTACGATTTCTTCTCCCTCGGCTTTGGGGATTCTTAACATCAGTCGCAGGATTTTAACCCCGGATCCGGATCTCGGGCCGTATGTTTGGGACAGGACGGGGGGAGAGGGCAGGGGTTGATCTTAGCAGCACCCAATAGTTCCACAAAACTTTAGAACCCCGTTCCCATCTCTTCTACCCCCCCATCCGCCCCCCCCACCCCAAGCCACGCAAACCAATAGCTTATTTGTTGCTTTTCCTTATGGGGAACGTATCTTGTTTTGCCTTTTGCTCCTTGATTAACAGTTTTTCTTTCCATTGCCTATTTCCTCTATCTCCTCCCCGCCACCCCCCCCAGCCCCCGGTAAAGAAAAGTCTTAATGCGTTTGTCATTTTAATTCCAAAGTCTCTGGGCTAGCGTGTTATATTAGTGTTGTAATATTCGGCCCTTGTATTTAATTTCGCTTTTTCCTCTCAGTGCCCTAGAAGTTTTATTTCTCTTCTGTGACTTCGGCGTCCCCCCCTTTACCCCCACTTGGTGTTTCCCTGTAGGCTTTTTTTTTTTAACCTCTTACGTGTAGTTGTAAGAGAAAGGGGTAAAGGTATAATTTGAGTCTTTACAGGCTTCAGCCTAGTGTTGAAAGGTTCGATTCTTTTTCTATGAAATTGATATAATAGTAAAATTTTAAAACGAAGGATCCGGCATAATTGTTTAAAAAAAATTGTATTGGTTTGTGTACCAGAGTGCCTAAAAATGACCCCTCCCTCTTTTAAAACAACGACGCCTTTACATTGCTTTGTAAATTCTGTACCCCTATTTATCTCCCCGACTCCCTGTTTCACAGTCGCCACACCCTGTGTCTCTGTCTTTGGACTGGACTCTTTATTGGCTTAATTTAGTGACACTGGACTTTCCTAAGCGTGAAGCTTCTTTTCCTCTTTGGCTTAGTAGTCTGTTGAAAGATTAATAACCAAGGTTTCTGGAATCAACCTGGTGATCTTTGCCTATTTATTCCTTGTTGTCTCCCTCCTTCGGGCGGGTGGCAGTGTCAGCACCACTGCTGGGAGAGGGAAGAGGAAAGGAGGGGAGGAGGGAAGGGAAAGGGGAAGGGAAGAGTAGAGAAGAGGAGAGAAGAGAAGAGAGAGTCGGGTTACCGAAGTGCGTCATTCATGGCTCTTAACTGGGCCTGCTCTGGAGCCTCTTGTGTTTGTTACTGTCCTAGCTGCACTTTCCTCCTCCCGGTATTGGATAGGAAAAAAAGCACCAGGCCGTCTCTTAGTCCTACCCTGGTGCCTAGAACCCTAGGAATTGGGCTACCTAGTGAAATCGGGCCCTCCAAAGCCTGAACCTTTTTTCTTTATGGATGCCTGGATCAAACATTTGTACACTTCGAAATATTTTGATATGAAAAACTGATTTAATCCTTGGCCTACTTAACTGCGGTGTCATCTAATCACTGAACCATTAGGATTCCAAAATGTATTTTAAGTGACCTAATCATATTTCTATTAATGTCCTATAATTAGAAATGAAAAGGAACAATTTATTGTAAAGCTATTTTTTAGTAATTGAAACATGATTTTAGGAGACCATCCTGTTAATTTGTCTCATCTTTTTTTCCTTTTGGAAGAATGGTAGAAAGTAATCGCAGTTGTAAATAATTCATTTATTTTCTAATATATTATTTAGAATTATGTTTAAAGGAATAAAGGTATATTTCTTTAAAAGTTTTTAATTTAAAATTTATTACTTAAAATATTTAAAGATAGTCTATTTCAGTTTTTCAGTCATTTTAGTCGACTTAAATTTTATAAATACCTTTTTGTTTTCACATCAGTCATTTCTGAATATATTCCTTCCCTCCCCGCCCCCCCACCGCCGTTTAAAAAAAAAGCCAGGTAAGAAAAACCAACCAGAAAAGATCTAGAAGTGGATGCAATATTCTGTGCTTATAGGCACCCCCACCACTCCTTCCTTTCTGGAACAAGATTGGTTATTACACAGGTAATGGTTTTGTTTAATTTTATGGTCTTTATTAGTTTTTAAAAGCTATTTTTGGAGGGAAATTGTGAAGAGAGTGAATGATTTGATTAATTACTTTTAACATACATAGATGAGGGATTCTATTGCAGCAGATTTTTTAGTGTTTTTTCTTTAACTTTAAGGTATCTTTAAGGAAAATGCTATTAAATAATTTGATATGTTTATTGAGAAAGAATTTCTGAGCTCAGTTTTTTTGCTTTCTTGTTAATGGGTGACTTATTTTGAGTTTAATTCTTTCAAACATCTGGGAAAACTCTTCCCACGCATGAAGATTACTAGTCCCTCTGGCTTAGTGGATTGTGATATACATTTAGTTGTCTTGACTGAAAAAAAAATCACAAAATTCATCCGTTGCTGATCGATAAGCCTCTTCAAATTTAGCTGGGGTGGTTCTCAGACAATAGAGTATTCTACCGTCATGGTAGCAACCTGTCTGAGCTTGTCCTTTGCTATTGCCTTGAATTGTCAGTCAGCTTCATACCATGATGAGTATTTGAGGTTTACCTATTTTAAAAGGTTTGCATAGTAAAATTAGAGTACGGTTTACATGATATATCCTAAGATCTTGGTTGAATTTGTTTTCATACTTTTACTGAGAACAGGCCACATTCAGATTAAGCTTCTGAATTTTTCTATGGAAATGGAAAAAATGTAATCTTAATGAAATTGGATTTATCGAGTCAGTATTAGAAAGAGATCAATAGTGGCCATTTCGAAGGCCCTACTAGCAGAATATAAGCAGTATATAGTAGGCCCTACCAAGATAGAAATGCTTGCTCTACTGGCAAGGATTTGTAATGGAATGGGCTTTGCCAGTTTAATGGCCCCACTAGAAAGGACTTGGTGAATAGCACCTGGAATCCAGTGATTATGTGGAGGATTATAGGGGCTTAGTTCAGGATTCCTGGAGGGATATGAGGAGGGACCAAAAAGTATAGAGGAATCCTACTTATCAACCAATCCTTCCCTAATGCAGCTGTAGAAGTGGAAAGAACTATTAGCAATACTGTAGGCAGGCATGGCTGATAGGGGGATGGGAGGGGTGTCTCACTTCATTACTTGCATGGATCTGTGATATCATTGTGAATCCGCCCCTCCAAAGGTGCAAATTGCAACTGTCCATGCCTTTTCATGCCAGAACATTGTCTTGCTCCAGTGTTTCTGTAAATCCTTGCTCACCAAGATTATTTGCATTTACTTCTTCTTTTATCTGTGTCAGTATTTATTTGTTTTGATGAACATCAAATGCCAAGCTTTTAACAGATGGTATACGGAACCTAAAATGCCTTAATGGTCAGTATTTTTTTAATAGAAGATGTTATAAATGAAAATGATCTAATTTTTTGTATAATTTTTCCCCTTAGTCTAAGAGGTTTAATTGTTACTTCATTTAAAATATACTTAACTTTATAAGGTAAGTATCTTTGTTTATGCTGTTTTGTATGGCTCAAATATTGACTTTTTTTCTGTAAGGTGTTTTTGATTATATATTCAGTTTGTGAAGAATGTCTGAAATAATGTAAATCAAGTAACTTCAAACTGTACTAATTATTTCTAAGTAAGAATTAAATATTTAAATGTAATTCAGTAAATTTCTAGTGCCTCCTAAGTGCCCTGGGGAATACTCAGACAAAGAGGAACAATTCTTGCCCTCAGGGAACTTTCGATGAGGATGGGGAGGGGATACTATATCTATGTGGTATAAAATAAATGCAGAGCTATTTGAGGCCAGAAAGAGCTCCAACAATTGGAAGGAAGGTTTCTGCTGAGTTCGCATCTGAACAAGCCTAGAAGGAAGATGAGAATTCTGAGGAGGGGGAGTTGAGAAGGGAGTGTATTTCAGACATAAGGGACTCCTTGTTTCTATAACAGGTAGGAGATGGAATGTCCAATTTTTGCTTGCTTTAAGAAGAGTAACTGGGAAATAAGGGTGGGAAAGTTAGCTTTCAGTCAAATTATGGTGTGCCTTAAATGCCAAGCAAAGAATTTTTTATGTTATCCTGACACGGTGAAGGTGGTGATCCTTTAATTTGAGATTTTCATTGTACCTTTTTTTTTTTGTTTTCATTTTCATAGAAAAGTAATGTAGAGTAAGCAAATATGAAGTGAAATGGGGATAACTCCTTAGCTTTTGTTATAATTCTCAGGTCAAGTCCCTGTAAAAGTTGCAAGGGATTTTTTTTTCCTTTACCAATATCATTGAAAACTGTTTTGAAAAAAGCAGGCATTTAGGCAAAAGATTTCATCACCCTAGCTATTTATTTAGATTTTGAAAAATCATTTGACATATAATTGTCCTGCTTTAGAGTTTTACATGAAGTGTTCATGTAAAACTTAGGTCTTAGGTTTTTTAACATATGAAAATTAGGAAGCATGGAATTGATCTTTCAGTCAATATCAAGTGGCTTCATTTGTAATCAGGTTTAAGTGTGGGTTGTTGCCTGATCTCCTTTCCAAAAATTGTTTTTGTGGTAACAGCTGAAATGTATTAAATAAACCTGGCCTTTAGTTAGGCTTGAACATGTTTACTATTTCAAAGTTTGTGAATATTATGTTGAGAAACCTTACTGAAAAGTGAAGTGTCATTTGTGATAGGCAGTGGAAACTCTTTTTTTTTTGAGAGAGAGAGATAGTGATTTTGTGTGTGTGTGTGTGTGTGTGTGTGTGTGTGTGTGTGTGTGTGTTTTCTCAATCTAAAATGGTCGCCTTAGCTGGCTTAACACTTACATAGGTGCATTAGAAATAAACTCAAGTTTGCTTTCTTGATAACTTGCTTTGCTATTTGACTATGGCGAATGATCTGCTAGGAATTCTTATTGCTGATTTATCTCTCCGCATATATATTAATTATTTATTAATTATTTTTTTTTCTTTTTCCCCAAAACCTTTTCTCTTCACTTTCACAATAAAGTTACTTCAGTTTCACAATAAAAGCAAAAACCATTCACTGGATAAAACTAGTGTTATTGATGTGGATTCTAATCAGGTAATGG